CTCTTTCTTCCAAAAAAGCATTAACTAGAATCCAGTCTGATTTCTCCAGATTCTGAAACTGATTGAGAATCGGTTCAAAAGTTGCAGGGTATGATCCATGAACATAAACAAAAGAAGGCAAATCTGAAGGTTCCACTACCGGCAATCCAGGAATATTCACATTTCTTTCAGTCTCTGAAAGAGGAAGTTTCAACTTCTTCTTATACACATGGTAATAAATACTGTCCACAGCACAAGATTGAGTGAAAAATGCAGCAGAAACTAGGCCAAATTTCTTGGTTACATCATGACTCCATGATAGAAATGGATCATAAATTATACAATCTACAACAGAATATCCACAAGTTCTGATAAAGTTTCTATTCCGACTAGACGAAACTTATCCAGGTATGCTTCTAAACTCTCGGCCTCACCCCTCCCTCCTTCATCAAATGCATCAGAGATTGTTTCCAGGGAAATATGGGATGAATCTGAAAATTCTTGCACGATTTTTCGCAAGAATTTTGTTAAGACTAAAGTGATTCTTACGCCTTTATGCCTCAAGATTTTGGCGAATTGGAGCATAGGATTTATGTGTCCCTGGATTGGATATGGCTGTGGAATTCTCGAATTGAAAACCATGGCTTCATTAAGAAGATTGAATAAAAATAAGAAATACAGAGAGAAGAGATCGAAACAGAGAAGAAAGAATTCTGCAATATTATTCTCAAATCTAAAATGAATACACCTGTCAAGTATATAAAGGAAAATCACATCATTACAGTTAGAACAACCTAACAACAACATTAACTACCTAACTGAATTTATCTAGCTGTCCTAACTGAATCTAACTACCATGCCAGCAGAGCTGATTCCATTATCATCCGGTTGGTATGGAACTTGATGACTTGGTTGCCGTAGAAGGAGTTGAATCTGCTGCATCAATTGAATCAGCATCGTAAGATCCCCCCTCAAGAGGGGCATAAATGTTCAAGATGCCCATCTTGGAGATATTTCTGTGAAACAAGGCAGAACTAAAGGGTTTTGTTAAGATATATGCCAGCTGATGTTGTGAAGGAACATAGATGATTTCAATTAATCCAAATTGTAGTTTCTCCCGAACAAGGTGACAATCTATCTGAATATGTTTGGTTCCCTCGTGCTGAACATGATTATGAGTAATGGAGAGGGCTGATTTGCTATCAGTATACAAGAGTGCAGGTTGAGAATGATGAACAACCAAATCTTGTAAAAGATAATCAAGCCATTGGATCTCACTAGTTGTAGCTAGTGCCCGATATTTGGCTTCAGCAGATGATCTGCTAACTGTAGGTTGTTTCTTGGATTTCCAGGAAATTAAGGACTCACCAATGAATTCAGCAAAACCAGTAACATTTCGCCTAGTATCTATTAGCAGCAACAAATCTTGAC